AACACCCTTCAGCACATATCCTAGGATTTTGTATGGTCAATCCTGCAAGTTAGTCAATTTGACACCAAATTGATAGACCAGAGGTTGTTTACCAAAAAACACGGTAAACAGGATGTCATGTGAATGTGTATCACTCGATAGAATAAAAAAGAACCAGCAAACTAGTCGTAAAAAGGCCTGCAACCTTCAATTGATTTTTTTTAAGTGAACAGTGTTAGAGTGTTGAACAATGTCGGCGCGATAAATAGTGTCAGTGCATTAAACATTGTTGCGGCGATGAATAGTACCCCAGATGAAAAAAGAACTGTAATTAAGGCGACTAGGATTTTGAAAAATGAATCGCAATTAAGGTGGTTAGGATTTTGTAAATGAAACTGCAGTTAAGGCGACTACGGTTCTTTTATGCGGGAGCGAAACCCTTTCGAACGAGAGCTCGCGATACCATGTTTGGAACTGAATAATATATTTCAAGTATGTTAAAATTACAAGCACTAATCTCTTTATCTAAGACTATTCTAATTTAATGGGCCTAACTAATGGACTAAATGTCAAATATAAATTACGATTAATAATAGTAAAATTAAGTTATTTACAACAATATGTGCAAAAGCTTTGTTTAGATTGACTTTACAAGCATGAAAAAACAATAGATAAGAGAAACCAGTCAATTGTAAAGTAATTATTGAGAATGAGTTGTTGCATACATCATTTGGTTTAAGGTATTCCTTCAATGTTTTGATAACAACATCATTTTTAATGGACCTCACAAAATCAAACAAACAACAACAAATCAGAACTGATAAAAGGAAGACAAAACCAAACATAAAGTATAACAAAGTAAACAACAACAAATCACCATGAATGAGAAGTAAAGTTGGAAAATAATGTTAAATATACTTAAGAAATAGATACCAACATAAACAACAACGACAACAACAATAACAAACCACCATGGATGAGAAGTAGATATAAAGAAAAACCTCAAAGAGATGACAAAATAAACAAAAAACAAAATCCAAAAACACGTGATATTAAAACTACAGTGAAGATATCAGAGAACATTCAATCAAACACAAAGTAACATCAAAAGACAATGTGATAATACCAAACTAAAATCTGCAAAACAGGTGAAATAAAAAATGGTCAAAAAAATAGAGAAGACAAAACCATTCACAAAGTTAAAAAAAAGTAACATCAAACAACAATGTGAAAAAACACATACTTTTTGAGAGTAATAGGGGAAGAAGAAACATAGTTCATTCTTAACGAACCGGTCGGAGAAAGAGAAACAGTATTTGTTCTTAACGAATTGGTCAGATATGGAGAAACGGTTGTCGACAGCGAAGTTCATCGAAACAAAATTTCAATCGGTTCATTAGAAAAGCTATAAAATGAGGAGTACGAAAATGACTTTAGTTTTTTTTGTTGGTGTTGGTGGTGGTAGTCGTCGTATATAGAGTGGAGAAAGGGGACGGTGGCAGTGTTAGGATTTGTGTGAAAAACAAAAAAAAATGGGAGAGAAGTGTGGAAGGAGAAAAGAGGGAATTTAAAATGACCTGTAATAAAAAAAAAGTATATGAACGTTTTAATTGGAACATTGTTGATTACTTATTAGTCCATGATGCAATGTAAATTTTTCTGAAGGGAAATAGTAAATTTGTAAGATGCTGCAATATTATGGTTTGATAGTAGAGTAATACTTATTTAACTCTCTTCATTGGGTAATAGACACGTGTCTTTTTCTTTTTAAATTGTTGATGAAAGTGGTGTTTTTATTAAATTATTATTATTTAACTCTCTTCTTCAAATAATACACGATTTTTTCACCCAAATAACCAAGTTTCCACACTATAATTTCCAATCTACCCAACTTTTCAATATATTATCCAATCTACCCTAGTTTTGGATTTTTTTTATTTTTTTTTTACAAGGGGGCGCCATGGGGGTTGGAGCCTCCCTTATAATTTGTATGGGGGCGCCATGGGGGTTGGAGCCACCCTACAAATTATAAAGGGGGCGCCATACCCATTGGAGCCTCCCTTAAACGAAATTTAAAAATTAATTCTAATGTTTAGGTAATTTAAAAATATTTAATAAATAATTTTTAATAATTTAAAAAAAAAATTAAAAATAATAATTTTGTAAATATTAATTTCTGAATAATTTTTAACAATTTATATTTTAATATTTTTAATGATTCATATTTTTAACAATTTATAAATAAATAATAATTAATATTTTCATTAATAAATTCCAAACAACAAATAAAAATTAAATTGGATTAAATAAATTTAATCACATACAAATGGCTACATTTGAAAGATCTTGTACACTAATTTCTACGACTCGGTCGATTTAAATGTCCGCCCGTACCGCATCCTCGATTACGTACGTTTCTTGGTGGTCTTTGTGGTGGAGTCGGGTCCATTGTGTCGTCATCAAGCATTTGCATCACTTCGGCCCATGAAGAGTCCATATCCGTAAAGTCATCCAAATTAAAAGGGTTGCCCATGCCTTCATAATTATTTTGGGGTGGTTGGCTGGATGAGGCAATGTCAGGACGATAACCTGCCTGATCGTAGGGTGAGATGGGTGTAAAGGTTTGGGTGGGTATGGGTTGATTGGGTGTTTGAAACTAGGAGTATGTGTGGTATTGTGGTGGATGTTGTTGGTATTCGGATTGTGAATGAGTTTGTGTGAATGGAGTGAATTGGTTAGGAGTATGTTCATATGGTTGTGATTGTGTGAGTGGGGGTTGGAAATAGGGTTGGGTTGGCGGTTGGAAATGGGGTTGGGTTGGCGGTTGGAAATGGGGTTGGGTTGATGGTTGGCAATGAGGTTGGGTTGGCGGTTGGAAATAGGGTTGGGTTGGTTGTTGGGGCCTTGATGATGAATCTTGTTGGCGTGGGTCATTAAGATACCTTGGATGTGAAATGAAACCAATTGATATAGACTTATACCAAGTCATGTATTGTATAGATTGTTTCATCTCGTATGGAAACACATTGTCGGACAAAACATAGTTGTTGCGATGCCTCCATTCACGACACTCGTGTTTTGCATACTTGGTCCACGGATTATATTCCCATTGGTCGGAGACTTTACCGTTGTGATATTTGTCGGGTATGCACTTTGGGGGACATGGAATATCTTGAAGCATTCCAAATTGAAGTTTCACACGATCACTGTTGTGCATTTCGACGGTGGTGAAGTTGATAATGGGCACCTTTGCACTCCACACCGCAGAATCTTGTCGTTCAACTTGATGAAATGCTTCAAGATCAAGATACGGCCGCCAAATGAACTGAAGGATGAAAAAAATAATGTTTAGTATTTTCTAATAATATTCAAGGAGAGTATAACATAAATAGGTAGGTGAGTGAGTTTACATCTTCTTGCGCCAAGTGATCAATAAGATTTCGGTACTGCGTTATACTGAAGTGGGGACAATTGTCATAATTCATTCCAAGCGAAGACCACCTACAAATCGAAAACAATAAAATTTATTAATAATATGATTAATAAATAAAAACACTTTGATAGATAAATGAGAATTGGAAAAAATAATTACCTTTTAGCGAATGGGAATTCAAACTGATTTTGTTGGATAGGTGCTAGATTGGTCATTCTTGACCAACCCCAAGATTGTAGAAGAACACCACATCCGGTCCAATTTCCGGTATTGGCTATTGAGTTATGACATAAAGACCGATATAGGTGCGCTAGTGTAGCGGACCCCCAACTATATGTTTTTATTTTATCTACGTCATCTAATAAAGGTAAGTACATAGAGTGAACGACGCTTCCACTTGTATCCGGACATAAAAATAACCCTATTAATAGCATTATATAAATTCGGGTTTTTCTAATTTTTAGAATTTCAGGAGAATCGGGGGTTAATGTCAAGTCTCTATAAATTTTTTTGAGCCATGACATTAAAAGTTTTTGTCCCCTCAAATCTCGTGGGGTTGGTTCAACCCCCAAGAGTTCTCCTATGAAATTACCGGTCGGATTGGTTTTACCGTTAACCGCCTTACCATGAATGGGTAAACCCAATAACATGTATGTGTCCTCGAGTGTAACTGCACATTCACCTATTGGAAGATGAAATGTGTGCGTCTTGGGTCGCCACCTTTCTTGCAAAGCCAAAATAAACTTAGAATCAATGAGATAATTTGTTATCTTAACGACCTCTCCAAAACCTGCTCGTTCCAAAAAATGTTGAATCAACGGATCATGTGGGAAATATTTATGCCCACGAGTACGAAATTCATGAGTATCCTACAAAAAAAATAAAACATATCATTAGAACATTGTATTTGTTACAAAAAATAATAAAACATATCATTAGAACATTGTAAATGCATTATAATGCTACAAATAAATACAACATTGTGAATTATCAAGTAGAAATACTTACATACAACGCGATGTTGCTTGGTGTTCCTCGATGCGTTTCACCCATTGTTAACAGAGACATGACTTCTATAGTGTGAATATATGTGGAAAATATTGGGAGAATTTGAATTGTTGAATATATTTGATGTGTTTTTTAGAATGAAGAGGAGAATTATTTATAGTTGAAATTTAGAAATTTGAAATTTGAAATTTGAAATTTGAATTTATGGTTGTATAGGTAAAAATTTAATTTGTGTAGTTGTAATATTTATTGATATTAATGAGATAGTTGAATTTGTATAAAAAGAGATTGATGTGTAGAAATATTGATAGATGAATTCGTACACTTGTCTTACTGCATGCATGCATAAAGTTACTTATTTTACACGTGTCATAGGGGCTTCATCCCCCACGGCACCCCCCTTGTAATTTAAAGAAGGGGCTCCATCCCCCACGGCGCCCCCCTTATAATTTAAAGAAGGGGCTCCATCCCCCACGGCGCCCCCCTTATAGTTTTAATAATATTTAATTCGTGAGATTTTAATCTATATGTATACATTCAAGCAAAAAATAGTATACATCCCTTAAACTATCATTCAACCATGTCTAGAACATCCAATTACATTGTTCATGCCCATTATAATGGAGAGACTTTCATCTCTGAGAATTCGGGTTTCGGGTTTCAAAATACAGATCTTACCCGATTAATCATGAGTAGAAAAGCAAATTTTGTGCATTTCAAAGAGCGCATACAGTCAAAGATTTTGTCTGGTCAAATCTCGCAGATCATTTACAGAAGTCCTGTTTTTTTTTACAACAATGAGGTCAAGTATTTTCAAGAGAAAATACTTGACAACAGCGATGTTGATCAAATGTTTGATAGTCACGAACAATCTGGCCTCGACTATATCGAGGTTTATCTGTTACTCTGCCAAACTGAACATGAGGTTGGTGAAACAACGGATATAGATGAAATTGATGTTGTGGACGAGGAGGAAGAAGATCCAGAGACCATGGTTGATCAAATGGTTAATTTGTTCGGGAGCGGGGACTACACTGCAATGACTCCCCTGCAAGACATAGATGAAGAGGCCTTACCATTAAATCAAGTGTATTGTCCTCCTCAGCACATGAAGAACTTGAAATGCAGTGGCGACGATACTTCCTCAGATTATTTCTACAATCCTTCTCAACAAACTGAAAGTGTCTTGAAAGTCGGAAACCAATACCGCACGAAAGAGGAATGCATGAAAGCCATAAGAAAGTTTCATATGGATAACTTTGTCGATTTTTACATCAATCGGAACGACTCAAAATGCTATGTCGTAGTTTGTCGTAACGCAAGTTGCAAGTTTCGGTTAGCAGCGTCCTATCGGAAAAGAAGTGATTGTTGGGAGATAGGTTCGATGGATCCACCTCATAGTTGCACAACCAACATCAATCGGCAAGATCATGGAAAACTAAGCTCTCAATTGATATCCCAAGAGATTTTGCATCTTGTGGGCGCGGATCCATCTGTGAAGGTGAGCACAATTATCTCTCATGTTGTTGCACGGTTCAACTATACCCCATCGTATAGGAAAGCTTGGATAGGTAGAATAAAAGCGGTGGAACATGTATATGGGAATTGGGAGCATTCTTACCATCAACTTCCACAGTATCTACTAGCACTTCAGAAATATGTTCCTGGTACGGTTGTAATATTGGAGTCACTACCAGCATACACTCCTGAAGGAACATGTGTTGCTGGAAGTAGGATATTTTCTCGTCTCTTTTGGGCATTTCAACCATGTATCAAAGGTTTTGCGTTCTGCAAACCAATTATACAAGTCGATGGAACATGGTTGTATGGAAAATACAAAGGAACATTGTTGATGGCGGTAGCACAAGACGGAAATAATAATATATTTCCGATTGCCTTTGCCCTGGTCGAGGGTGAGACAGGCGAAGCTTGGAGTTTCTTCCTCAGAAATCTCAGAACACATGTCGCACCACAACCCAACTTATGTCTGATTTCTGACAGACATGCTTCTATTGTGAGCGCCTACAACAATCCTGCTAATGGTTGGCACAACCCTCCTTCTGTCCATGTCTTCTGCATAAGACACATTGCTTAGAATTTTATGCGGGACATTAAAGACAGAAACCTCCGTAAAAAAGTTGTGAACGCTACGTATGCCTTAAACCAACCATCGTTCATGTATTACCGAGAAGAAATAAGGTTGTCAAGCGTGGAAGCATTAAGATGGGTGGATAATATTCCAGTCGAGAAATGGACTAGGTCATTTGATGGAGGGTGTAGATGGGGTCACATGACCACAAATCTTGTAGAATCCCTAAACGGCGTATTTAAGGGAACTAGGAACCTCCCCATCACAGCGTTGGTAAGGGCAACGTATTACAGATTGGGGTCACTATTTGCAGCAAGAGGCAAAAAATGGAGCGATGTACTGCAATCAGAGCAAATATTCAGCGAATCAAGCATGAAGTATATGAGGGATGAAACTTCTAAGGCGGCCTCACATCGAGTTAGACCATTTGATCGTCACGATTACAGCTTCATTGTTGATGAGACAATGGATCACAACGAGGGTCGACCAATGGGACACTACAGGGTGGAACTTCATAAAAATTGGTGCGACTGCGGAAAGTTTCAAACCTTCCGCATGCCTTGTTCACATGTCATTGTCGCATGTTCAACTGCTCGTCAGGATCCATTCTTGCAGCTATCAGAAGTTTACAAAGTCGTCAACTTATTCGGTATCTACAGTAGCAGTTTTCCAGTGGTAGCTAGTGAGGACTACTGGCCAACCTATCATGGAGACACAATCTACCACAATGAAAATATGAGAAGAAACAAAAAGGGCCGCCCCAAAAGCACCCGAATCACAACTGAAATGGATACAGCTGAGAAAATGGAAAGATTGTGCGGAATATGTCGTCTTCCCGGGCATACGAGGAAAAACTGTCCAAATGTTGGAACAAGTTCTAGGTAGATTTAATTTGGTCTTTAAAATTTGTGTAATCGTGCAATTTAATATTTATATCAACTTTTCATTACCACAAAAACGAATTGAATTACTTCTACAGCATAAAACGCAAATCATTAAAATACAACGATTATTACAACATAACCTAAGATATAACAACAATCAAAGTAATATCATCAGTTCCGAACATCATAGACCTAACTTCGTTGTCATCTCTAATTCGCACTCAGTCACGCCGTATGTTTCCGTCTTCAACAGAGAAGTAAGAGACAAGTCTTTCAATACTCCTAATTCTTTCACCATTTGGAATATCTCCTTCTAACCACCGATTCAAATTTCTTCGTAGTTGTTCTAAACTCTGAATGTTCCAAAACAACATCCTTATCGGAGGCTTCGTCGGTGAAAAAATTACATGCCCATATCTTCTAAGGAACATGACTCACTCTTCTAAATTTGGATGAAACAATGTTAGCAACATGTCTACCTATTTATAAAAAAAAAATTTGGAAAACCATAATATAATATTTTAATTATATTAATTATAATATATTTAAAAAATTATTTTCGTATAAAGGAGGCTCCATGGGGCATGACGCCCCCCTTTAGGGCATTTAAGGGAGGCTCCAATGGGTATGGCGCCCCCTTTATAATTTGTAGGGTGACTCCAACCCCCATGGCGCCCCCATACAAATTATAAGGGAGGCTCCAACCCCCATGGCGCCCCCTTGTAAAAAAAAATTAAAAAAATCCAAAACTAAGGTAGATTGGATAATATATTGAAAAGTTGGGTAGATTAGAAATTACAGTGTGAAAACTTGGTTATTTGGGTGAAAAAATCATAATACAGACATGTCTATTTTAATTTTATTGTTGATGATAGTAAAATACACTGCCTAAGCTTGGATTTTTCCTCGCATCAACAACAAAAATTAAATTCACGAGTTTTTAAATATGAATTAACTCTTTATTAATTGACTCAACTATGAGAAGTTCATTTGACGAGAAAAATTGATTATCAAAATATTTACTTTCTACATTAACTTATCTACTAAAAACTATTCAAAATTTATTAGATTAAAGAATTTGAATTCTCTATATTTTCCCACGCTTAGGCATATCAATTAATAGACATTGTAAAAAATAATAAACATTGCCATCAATGAATCACAATTAACCTAAATGAAGAGTAATTTAACTACGGCAAATTCAAAGAATCTGAATCCAAAACCAGCTTGAAATTCTAGCCCATTTGAGATTATAACTTCTACTTTTTGAAAGTTTTTTAAGTTGTCTAATGCCTTTACGTTTTAGTAGAATTTATTCATTATAAAAAAAGTGTTATAGGAAGATACCAAGGCACTGAAAAACAATTTTGAGGCATTCAACTCTTATATAAACTCTGACAACAAGAAATTTTCAGCTACTTATACTATATATATATATATATATATGTAGGGGTATATATTGAAAATAAAATCAGAAGCACCTTTCTTTTTTTTTTTATGACAGAAGGACTATTTTTATTTCACTCTTACTTCTTACAAATGAGAATACAACCAAGTCTTTATATAGACCCAAGACTCTGCTATTCTAGGAATTAAAATGCAATTCAATTTTTATTAATACACCATTAACCTTTAGGCTTTTCATAACTAACATCTCTTGGCCTTTCATAACTGACATCTAAAATTAAAACTCCCTTAAAATGACATTTAAGGTTTATTCAACAAATCTCCCATGTAAACTTAAATGTTTCTACCATCTATCATGCCTATTAATTTCTTCCCTCTGTCGAAAACTTCTTTCGATAATGGTTTTGTGAAAATGTCTGCTGCTTGATCCTTGCTTGCTACATGCTTCAATTCGACACTTGCTTCCTTCACATGTTCTCGAATAAAATGAAAACGAACATCGATGTGTTTGCTTCTTTCATGATTCACTGGATTCTTTGCTAACTCAATTGCTGATTTGTTGTCCACTTGTATTACTGTTGCATCTATCTATTTTAGCTCCATTTTGCTCAACAATCTTCTAAGCCATATTGCATGACAAACACTCCAAGATGCTGCCACATATTCAGCTTCACATGTCGAAAGCGTTACTATCGGTTGCTTCTTGGAAAGCCAGGTAAATGCAGTGTTTCCCATAAAGAACACATATCCTGAGGTGTTTTTCCGATCGTCTATATCGCCACACCAATCGCTGTCAGAATAACCAATCAACTTGTAATCTTCTGTACTTGAGTAAAACATTCCAAGTGACACAGTTCCTTGGATGTATCGAAGAATTCTTTTCAATGCCTTCCAGTGTGTATAGACCGGTTCCTCCATGAAACGACTTACAATTCCGACACTAAGCGAAAGATTTGGCCTTGTACATGTGAGATATCGAAGACTTCCTACAAAAATTCGATATTTACTTGCTTCGACACGTTCTCCTCCATCAAATTTCGACAACTTTGCACCTGGTTCCATTGGCGTCGAAATCGGATTACAGCTTTCCATCTTATATTTTTTCAAGATTTCTTTTGCATATTTCTCCTGTGAAATAAAAATCCCCGTTTCTTCTTGTCGAACCTCCAAACCAAGGAAGAATTTTATCAGACCTAAGTCTGTCATCTCGAATTCACGTGTCATGGTGCCCTTGAATTCTTCTATCATCTGATCATTGTTACTCAAGAAAATTAGATCATCAACATAGAGAGCAACAAGTAACATATTACCTCCATTCTTCTTTACATATAGAGCACGTTCGTAGGGACATTGCTTGAAACTATTCTCTTTGAAGTATGTGTCGATGTGTGTATTCCATGCTCGTGGTGCTTGCTTCAACCCATAAATCGCCTTCTTCAATTTTAGCACTTTTTCTTCTTTTCCGACTTTCATGTATCCGGGTGGTTGTTCGATGTAAACTTCTTCTTCGAGCACACCATTTAGAAATGCTGACTTGACATCCATTTGAAATATTGGCCATTTGAATTGAGCAACTTGTGAGATGAGTAATCGAATTGTCTCCATTCTTGCAACGGGTGCAAATATTTCGTCATAGTCAATTCCTACTTTCTGCTTGTATCCCTTTGCAACAAGTATCGCCTTATACCGTTCTATTTCGCCTTGAGCGTTCATCTTTTTCTTGAATACCCACTTCACACCAATGGGTTGAGTGCCTTTTGGTAATTCTGATAGTTCCCATGTGTTGTTACGTCCAATTGACTTAATCTCTTCGTTCATGGCAGTTTTCCATTTTTCGTCTCGCAATGCTTCTTCGAGGCTAATGTTTTCAGTATCTGCCAAAAGACATACAAGGTGTACCTCTTCTGTCATATCATACAAATCTTGCAGACTTCGCATTCTGGGTTGTAGTGGTTCATCTTCATTGTCAGAATCTTCAAGATCTGTTGAAATGCTTGTTGGTACAGCAACTGATGATTCTCTATCTTCGACGATGACATATGTCGAACTGTTCCAGTCCCATTTGATCGCTTCATTTATTCAAACGTCTCTACTCATTATCACCTTCTTGATCATGGGATCGAATAGCCTGTACCCTTTTGTTTTTTCATCATACCCAATGAATATGTACTTCTGACTTTTGTCTTCGAGCTTCGTTCTTCGTTAATCTGGTACGTGTGCATAAGCCACACTACCAAATATTTTGAGATGAGAAACTGTTGGCTTCTGTCCGCTACATGCTTCTTGTGGTGTTTGATCTTCTAACTTTGAATGTGGACATCGATTCTGAACATAAATGGCACATTGTACCGCTTCTGCCCAGAATTCTTTCGACATATTCTTGCTCTTTAGCATTAATCGAACCATATCTAGAACTGTTCGATTCTTCCTTTCCGCCACACCATTTTGTTGAGGTGAATATGGTGTAGTTAGAAATCTCCTTATGCCCTGCTCTTCACAATAGTTCATAAAGGTTGTCGAAGTATACTCACCACCTATATCAGATTGAACGGCTTTGATGTGTCTGTCAGTTGCCTTCTCCACCATTACTTTGAACTTTTTGAACACCTTGAATGCTTCAGATTTTTCTTTCAAGAAATAAACCCAAGTCTTTCGTGAGAAATCATCGATAAAAGAAATGAAATACCTTTTGCCACTAAAAGATTCCAGAGTGAT